CAGTCAATCCGCGGAACTCCTTGCCAGAGGATGTTGTGAAGGTCAAGGCTATCACAGGGTTCAAAAAAGAACTAGGTAAGGTCATGGCGGATACGTCCATCGAGGGCTATTAGCCAGGTTGAGCAGGGATGGTGTCCCTAGTCTCTGTTTGCCAGAAGCTGGGAGCAGCCAACAGGGGCAGGATCACTTGGTGATTCCCTGTTCTGTTCATTCCCTCTGGGGCACCTGGCATTGGCCACTGTCGGCAGACAGGATACTGGGCTAGATGGACCTTTGGGCTGACCCAGTCTGGCCGTGCTTATGTTCTTAATATTAACAAGGAACGCAAGCCAAAATAGGGAAAGAACAGGTGAAAGGCTGTTTAGCTACGTTTGATGTATTGAAGTCAGCAGGACTTGATGAAATTCATCGTAGGGTGCTTACGGAACTAGCTGCTGCAATCTCGGAACCATAAGAAATGATCTTCACAAATTCCCGGAGGACAGTGGAGGTCCCAGGGGCCCAGAGAAGGACAAATGTACCTTTTTTTAAAAAGAGGAGCACAAACAAACCAGGGAATTACTCATCAGTCACCTAATTTCAATCCTTGGAAAGATACCAGAACAGATTATTAAACTATCAGTTTGTAACTAAGCACCGAGAGGATAATAGATCATTAGGAGCAGCCAGTGTGGATTTCTCAAGAACAAATCATGCCCAGCCAACCTAATTTCCATCATTGCTGGTTAGAGGGGAGTGATACATCTTGATTTGTGTCCCTTTAGCTGTCCAGGTCGCGATGCCTTTTACACGGCTTTGCTGGGGAAGAGCCGGCCCTCTGGGATCTGCTTACGCACTGCCACTAGCACGTAAACTCGCTCCCAGCTGAGTACGTGAGTGCTACGCCCTGAATTACATACCCGGCGACACCTGCATATCCCTCAGTCCCAGCCTTGCTCCCCAGAAACGCGCGTCTTGCTCTGGTCAGTGCCCTCCTGGACAGGGTAAGCCCATAATCAGTCCGTCATTCCAATGATCACGCACCAGCCTTGTGATCCGAAGTGGAGATCCCCCAAAACTGCGATCAAAATCCACGCCGGTTTAGAGAAAACAGTAACAGGAGTTAATTAGCTGCGGAACGATAGATTTGAAGCGAGTACAAGAGAAAAGGCGTAGACGTCAGAATGGGTTACAAAGGAAATCAAAACGCTGCCATCGTTCTGTTTGCCAGAAGCTGGGAACGGGATGACAAGGGGTGGATCACCGGATGATTCCCTGGTCTGTTCACTCCCTCTGGGGCACCTGGCATTGGCCACTGTCGGCGGACAGGATCCTGGGCTGGATGGACCTTTGGTCTGACCCAGTCTGGCCGTTCTCGTGTTCTTATGCAGGGGTGTGTTAACCGGAGTGTCGTGTGTAATACATAGATTCATAGATTCTAGGACTGGAAGGGACCTCGAGAGGTCATCGAGTCCAGTCCCCTGCCCGCATGGCAGGACCAAATACTGTCTAGACCATCCCTGATAGACATTTATCTAACCTACTCTTAAATATCTCCAGAGATGGGGATTCCACAACCTCCCTAGGCAATTTATTCCAGTGTTTAACCACCCTGACAGTTAGGAACTTTTTCCTAATGTCCAACCTAGACCTCCCTTGCTGCAGTTTAAGCCCATTGCTTCTTGTTCTATGGGAGGGAAATGTCCTGCTCTGCTTGGCACGAGCGAGGCCCCAACTCAGCTCCTGGGTCCAGTTCTGGGGGCCACCCTCCAAATTGGCGAGAGGCCAGAGAAGAGCAACAAAAGCGAGCGAAGGGTTAGAACGCCTGACCTAGGGGGAAAGGTTAGGAAACGGGGCACGTTTAGTGGGGAGAAAAGATGAGTAAAGGGGGAACCTGAGAACAGTCTGCAGATACCTTCAGGGCTAGAGGAAAGGGACCAGGTCTCAGTTGTTCCCCACGCCACTGAAGGCAGGACAAGACGTAACGGGCTTAATCCACAGCAAAGGCACTTTCCTTTAGCTATTAGGAATTGAGCTCTGGAGTCGGCGTCCACGGGCGGGTTGTGGGATCCCTGTCACGGGAGGTTTAAGACCAGGTTGGCCAAACCCCTGTCAGGGCTGGTGTAGGTGGGCTGGGCCCTGCCTCAGCACAGGGGCCAGGTGTGACGGCGATGTCCCTTCCAGCCCACCCTGCTCCTCAGGGGTTCTCTGATGCCCAATGACTCTCCGCAGCCCCCGGAGGGATCCGAAGAGAGCGACGGAGAGCGGGACAGGGACTGGGAATGGCGCCAGAAGCTCTTCGGGGAATGCCAAGATGAATACCAGGAGATCTGGCGCTACGAAGGTAGGGACCCTGCATGGCCGCTGGCGCCCCCGAGAAGGGACAGGCCCCGTACCCCATCCCCCACCTCCCTGAGCCAGCCAGTCCCTGCCCTGGGGCCGAGTGGGAGCCGGCACCCCCTAGATGGGACAGGCCCTGTGCCCCATCGCCCACACCCCTGACCCAGCCAGTCCCCGCACTGGTGCCGGGTGGGAGCCAGAGCTCCCTAGATGGGGAAGGCCACATGTCTCATTATCCACCCCCCTGAGCCAGGCAGTGTCAGATTAGCCCTGGTGCCGCCTACAGGGGAAATTCTCACCTGACACCACCCTCCTCGTCTCTCCCCCCAACCCCAGAGGATTTCTGTACGGCCCACCCGGACCCAGAACCCTACGAGGAGTGGGCCGAGCGCATGGCACGGGAATACAGACGGAAAGGCCGCCAGGGGGCGGGGCCTGGCCACCAGAGGGCGGGGCCTGGCCCTCAGGTCCCCACCCACGGAGCCGCGCAGCCCTCCCGCCACACCTCCCAGCGCCCCCTGGAGGAAGAGTCTCGTCTGTACCAGGAACGCGCCCGCACCAAGAAGGAGGAGCTGCGGGAAGCCAAGCGGCAGCGCTACCAGGAGGGCTGCGCTCGCGTCTTCACCCCCGACGCCACCCGCCCCCTGCACTACGGGGACATCCCGTGGCCCAGCCCCACGGGCACCGTGGCCGAGATGGCTGCAGTGGCCATGCTGGGCACTGATCCCTCGGACGCGGGCGCCTACCGCCGCCAGCTGCGTCGCCAGCAGGCCCTGTGGCACCCGGACAAATTCGCCCAGCGCTGCGGGGGCCGACTGGCGGAGCTGGATCGGTGCCGGGTCCTGGCCACGGTCACGGCGCTGTCCCAGGAACTCAACAGACTGGCTGAGGCAGTCAAATAACGCAACGCAGCTGTGTCAATAAAGCTTCGGTTATTGTATTGAGCCAGGACTCCTGGGTTCTCTCCCGGCTCTGGGAGGGGAGTGGGGGCTGGTGGGTCAGAGCAGGGGGGGCTGGGAGCCAGGACTCCTGAGTTCTCTCCCCGGCTCTGGGAGGGGAGTGGGGGCTGGTGGGTCAGACCGGGGGGGCTGGGAGCCAGGACTCCTGGGTTCTCTCCCCGGCTCTGGGAGGGGAGTGGGGGCTGGTGGGTCAGAGCAGGGGGGGCTGGGAGGCAGGACTCCTGGGTTCTCTCCCTGGCTCCCAGCCACAATTCCTTTCCCCAAGAACAGAACATGCCCTTCCCCTCCCCGCCATCTGCTTCCCACTCCGGAAGCCGCCTCTCTGCTGCTCTTGCTCAATATGTTGTTCTCCGTGTTTGGTAACTAGGAGCTGGCGCTGGGCCTGCGGGCAGAGCCCGGCCTCCAGTTCCCAGGCGTGTGACGAAGGGAGCAGCCCTCAGCAAACCCACAAAGCTGGGGAAGCCCAGGGCTGGGCTAGCAGGGGCTGTGGGTCGGGAGTGAGGGGCACTGGCAGAGCTGGAGGGGGATGGGCAGGGCTGGGCTAGCAGGGGCTGCGGGTCGGGAGTGAGGGGCAGGGCTGGGCTAGCAGGAGTTGCAGGTTGGGAGTGAGGGGCACCGGCAGGGCTAGGCTGGCAGGGGCTGCGGGTCGGGAGTGAGGGGCACTGGCAGAGCTGGGGGGGCAGGGCTGGGCTGGCAGGGGCTGCGGGTCAGGAGTGAGGGGCACCAGCAGACCTTGGGGAGGGGGCAGGCCGGGCCCTGCGGTTTCCTCCCTCGTGTGACCTCGGAAGCTGTGGGGGGAAGTGAATGTCTTGTGTAAGGGCCCCGAATCGCCGCCCGGCCGCAGATGATGCAGGCGCCTGGGCACTGATGCAGGCTCCCCGCGTCCAGGAACGGGCACAGAGTGGCCTGAGACCAGGGGGAGGGGAGGCCATGAGCGTCTCTGGGGAAATGTCCCCCAATGAGCTGGGGGAGAGGCCCAGGGCTGGGCTGGCAGGGGCTGCAGGTCGGGAGTGAGGGGCACCGAGCCCCCATCCCCTCAGGACCCCACACGGACACTGTCCCTGTGCGAGTGTCTCTGGGGAGTGGCCTGACGTGGAGAGTTGTTCCCGGGCTCGACCCAGCTCCCAGCCCTGCCCGGCTGGCACGGGACGACCCCGCCCGTGTCCTTTCTGCAGTTCTCTCTTCCCGCCAGCCTTCCTCGGTCGTCCATCCCTGTGCCGTCTGGCGTCCGCGTTCCCGTCGGTCTCTCCTCCATTGCCCCGTTCTGTCTCCTTCCCTCGGCTCTTCATCCTTCGTCAGTTCCTCGTTCAGTTTCCTTCACGCATTCGCGCGTTCTTTTCTTTTTTCACTGACTCCTTCCTTCCTTTCCTTTCCCGCCTTCATCTCTGGCTCCTTTCTTCTTTCCCGCCTTTTTCCCTCCCTCTTTCTTTTTTCATTCAGCCCTTCGTTCCCTCATCTGTGCCCCCGCTCGTTCGGTTATTCCGTCATTCACTCTTTGGGCAGGTCTTCACTACGGGGGAGGGTCGATTTAAGATACGCAAATTCAGCTACGCGAATAGCGTAGCTGAATTCGACGTATCGGAGCCGACTTACCCCGCTGTGAGGACGGCGGCAAAATTGACCTCCGCGGCTTCCCGTCGACGGCGCTTACTCCTACCTCCGCTGGTGGAGTAAGAGCGTCGATTCGGGGATCGATTGTCGCGTCCCGACGAGACGCGATAATTCGATCCCCGAGAGATCGATTTCTACCCGCCGATTCAGGCGGGTAGTGTAGACCTAGCCTGAGTCACTTTCCTTTCTTCTCCCATCCTTTCATTCCCTCATTCATTCCGACGTTTGTTCTTTCCTCCCCTTGTTCCTTAACTCGTTTTTCTTTCTATTCTTTTTTTCTGTCCCCTTTGCTTTTGCACCCACGTTATTTCTATTTTTATCCATTTTTTCTTTCCTTCTTTCTATCCATTTTTTCGTTCTTTCCTCCATTTTTATCGTGGTTTTCTTTCTATCCTTGAATTTCCCTTTTGCTTTCTTTCTTCTGTCCATTTTCTTTCCTTTTCCCATTTCTTTTATTCATTCTTTCGTCTGATGTCTTTGTTTGTTTTCTTTCCCTCTCCCCACCCCGGCTCTCCTGCACACACCCCCGTCACACCCCTCACTCCCCGTCAGGATGACCCAAGAGGAAGGCTCTGGCGTCGTTCTCACATCACAGCTGGGCTGGGACAGGGTGACTCACGGGCAGGAATTCCCGCCCCAGCCCCGAGGCCAGTGCCATATAAACCCCGAACCCGTCCCGCCCCGAGCAGATGTCTCCCAGTCCCAGCGCCCAGCCGCACAGCCCAGAGGGCACCATGGTGAAGTTCGGGGCAGGCCTCAAGCCTGTGGATCCAGCCCGTGGCTCCGGCTTGCTCTGCTCGGCTTGTGGCTTCCTGCTCATCCGGCCCCAGCAGACAGAGTGTGGCCATCGGTACTGTGCCGCCTGCGTGCAGCGACTGCTGGGGTGAGTGCCAGGGGCTGCGGGGCGGGAGTGAGGGGCACCGGCAGGGCTGGGCTAGCAGGGGCTGCGGGGCGGGAGTGAGGGGCACCGGCAGAGCTGGGGGGGCAGGGCTGGGCTAG